GCCCCCATGAAAGAAGGGATGGGATGAGAGAGCAAGCCATGTGCACCCCCCAAGGGAAGAGCAATTCTAGGGAGTGGGAACAGCCAGTGCAAGGGGGCTGAGACAGGAGAAGGCCCCAAGTGAGGTCTCCAGAGAGAGAGGAGGCCAGCAGGAGGCCCCAGTGGATTATGGGGTTCTCCTCCCCAAGGCGTCACTCCAGCTGTCCCACAGGGAAGAGACAGGAGAGTGGCGTGCAGCAGCTGAGGCGACATGGAAAGGTCGGGTTGTAAGACTGCACCTTTGTTGTCTGCCTCTCCAGCAACAGCCGCACTCACCCCTGCTTTGTCTCCTCTGCCTGGTGGCCGGCAGTGTCCTTGGGACACGCTGACATTCCTCCTCCTCACTCCATAAATATTTATTGCATCGTGCATAAATATAAATGTGTCCTGGCTGGAAGGGCAGCAGTCACTGGCGGTGATCACTTCGTGGCCATCCATCCAGAGCTGCACTTGGTCTCTGACAGCCAACCAGGCACAGAGGTAGTGTCCACGACAGGGCGGGAGCTCGGAAGTCACCAAGAACCACAATCCACCCCAGGCCTCCCTGCCTCTCCATGTGCCTCCCAGCAAAGGGGATGGGCCCCACTTTGTAACTCAGGACACCCTCCTTAGAGCCCCCCTCTTCAGCACTTTCCAGTGCCCCCACCCTGGGATCCCCAGCTCCTCACACCCTCCTCTCCTCAGCCTCGGCCTCCGTCTCCTTTCATCCTCTCTCTCTGCCCTCTCCAGCTATTCCCCAAAGTAAAAGGCCCCGGTAGAGACAGGTGTGTGCCAGGCCCCGGGGAACCCCCTCTACTCGGACATATGCAATCTGCTCCTGCCACACTGGGCACCCCCTCAGCACTTGCACACTACCAGAGAGCCCTGGTAACATTCTGCCCGTCCTGAGACCCACTCCAGGCCCAGCTGGCCTGCGGTCCCTATCTCTCAAGGAGCCAGTCCTAGGTGCCCCACCTGTCCTCCAGGACCCCAAACTCAAATTCACAGCTAAGCTCACCCCTTCTGAGGCCTCAGCATCCTCATCAACAGGCAGCTCTATTACCGGGAGATTAAATGAGATGCCACGTGGGCCCATTGTGCTTATTCAATCACTTCCTGCTGCTTCTATGTTAACCTCCCTGCCCCAGTCTCCCTCTGCTGCTCACCTATTCCCTCACCAAAGCTGGCTGGTGTCTGATTTTCCTAACACAACAGACACACTCGGACTCTGGGATACGGCAGGTGCTTCCCAGTGCTGGCTGAATCTAATTCTTGATGTCAGACCTCACTCGGCCAGCCCCACTCCCTGATCGCAGATCATGGGGGACAACTGGGTTGGACGAGATGCTCCTGACCAAAGATGCCAAGCTGGGTCCCAATCTACCACTCCTCTCATGATACTGGTTCCTTCATTCTGTGTTCTCTAGCCAGCATTCTGGATGGGGATAAGCTAGGACGGTGAGCAGGTGAGTAGGAAAGAGTGGGCCTCAGGAATTGTGGTTCCTCCAGAAATGAACGCTGCCATCTTTTTCTGCCCCCACTGGGAGGAGCCAAGCCTTGCACTGCCGCTGGGTCAGAGAATTCCCAAGAGGAGGCGGCTGAGAACCCAGACACCTCTTCTTTTTCTTGGGGCGGGGAGGGATCCTCCTTTTTTTGGTTATATTTTTATTTTGGATTTTTTAATTTTGTAATACAATTTTGCATAGACTGGGATTCCCCCCCAAAACTCCCACCCCCTGACAGATTTTCCCCATGTTGCCACAACAGCATAGTCCCTCACAAGGAGTCACAATTCCATCAGTCTCTTATTTAAGTGTGCCTGACATTGTTGGTACACACAATGTCAAACAGTCCAGCATCCCATTGTCTACACATTTCCAACAGTTTCATTGGGAGTCCATCTTTTGTTTGGAAGCAGGAATGCCTGTTGCATTGTACCCCCACATCTGGATATGGTAGACCCCAGTACCCTATCACTATACATTTCCATAAATGAGAAGCCATGAAACAAGGTCAACAACTGGTATGAATTAGAACAACAGCCACCACAGCAACAGCAATAACAAATTACAGCACCATGAAAAAAACATGCCACTTTGTAACCAACACATGGGTGACAAAAAGGAACCACAAAAGTCTCTTGGGAAAAAAGATGCCACTGTGTAATCCATGAGCCAGCGATGAATTCAACAAGAAAAAAGAAAGCATTTGTAATAAATATAACTGAAATCAAAAACATTAAAACACTTGGGATGTAGCCAAGAAAAAAACCAGTGTGAATCGGGTAATTGAAATTACACATTGAATGATCATTTTCTTATATTAGATTGTTCTTTTGTGATTGATTCATGTCACTGAGCATAATGGTCTCTAGTTGGGACCACCTGGTTGCAAATGGCATAATTTCATTCTTTTTAATAGCTGAATAATATTCCATGGAGTTGATGTACCACAGTTTTTTTAATCACTCTTCTTTGGACACACATCTGGATTGCTTCCATGTCTTTGCTATTGTGGATTGTAAATATAGAATTACAGATGCCGTTCTCATATGCAGATTTCACTTCTATTGGGTATATTCCTAGGAGTGGGATAGCTGGGTCATATGGCATGTTGATTTGCAATTCTCCAAGCACTCTCCATACTGATTTCCACATTGGTTGTACTAGCCTACACTCCCACCAGCAGTGAAGGAGGGTACCTTTCTCCCCACACCCACACCAGCAGGTGTTGTTAGTTGAGTTCTGAATGTAGGCCAGTCTCACCAGAGTTAGGTGGTACCTCAACATGGTTTTCATTTGTATCTCTGATGGCTAGGGAGCCTGAGCATCTTTTCATATGTCTGTTAGCCATTTGAATCTGTTCTTTTGAAAAATGTTCATTTCCTTTGCCCATTTTGACACAGGGTTTTTTTTGTTATTGTTTTGTTTTTTGTTTGTTGTTGGGTTTTGTTTTTTGTTTTTGTTTGTTTGTTTCCTGTCCCTGGGTTCCTGAAGCTCTTTGTAAAACCTGGATATTAGCCCCCTGTCACTTGCGTAGTGTGCAAAAATTTTCTCCCATTCTATTGATTGCTTCCTCACTTTGTTAATTGTTTCCTTTGCTGTACAGAAGCTTTTTAGTTTGATGTAGTCCCGTTTGTTCATTTTGGCTTTGATTGCCTTGCTTCTGGCGTTTCTTTTTTTCTAAGAAGTCTTTCCCTGTTCCTATATCTTGCAAAATGCTTCCTATGTTTTCCTTTACTAGTTTAATGGTTTCTGGGTATAGATTAAAGTCCTTGATCCATTTAGAGCTGATTTTTATATACTGTGACAGGTGTGGGTCTTGCTTCTTTATTCTGCAGGCTGCTATCCAGTTCAGACGTCTCTTCTTGGCTCTTATGTCAGCTGTAAGTCTCCCTAATGGGAGATAAACTATCTAGCAGCTATCTGAGTCCAAGCCACCAGGGAAAGCATAGTTTTAAAGATGCTGCTAGCCTGGCAGGTGCAGGGAGCACCTGAGAATCTTAGCTGGGGGACAGGAGGAGGATCAAGAGAAGATTCCCTTTCTTGAGAAGGGGAGAGCAGTGTGAACATTCATCTAACAGCCTTACATCCAAGTGGCCCCAGGGAACCAGCACGTGGAAGCTCACACAGAACAGAGAGAACCCTATGGCCAACTTGTATCCTACACTCTTAATGGCTTCCTCTTCCTGTGGTTCCTGGTAAGGGTCTCAGATCCTGACAGCATCAATCATGACAGCCACCTGAGGGTTCTTTGGCACTGCAGGCTGCAGAGAGCAGAACCACTGGTGCTTAGACTCCAAAGGCACAAGGGGATGTAGAAGGAGCCACGGCCCATCAGCACCTGCATGAGGTGTACTCCTTAAAGAATGGCCATCACCACCAGAATAACCTCGCACCGTACAGCACAATGCAGCAGCCTGGAGAGATGATGACATTCAGCACGAAAAGAGCTTAGCTCTGTGAGACCACAGCCAGGGGACACCAGCACAGAGGCCTGACACATGTGCCAGAAGTCACTATCTGACCGAGGGACCAGAGGTTGGACTGTCCTGGAAGAGTGTGGAGCACCAAGTCCCAGCCAGCAGGACATAGCTAAAGAATGGATGCTGTGTGCTTGGGGCCCACCACCAGGTTGGCTGTGGAGACCAGCAAAGCCTAAGCCACACTGGGCTCTGGGGCCACCATAAGGGTTTTGGACTCTGTCCAGAAAGCCACTGGAAGCCACTGGTGAGAGACAGGTTGGTGGGAGTGGCAGGGATCTGTCGTAGCTATGCTTCATTGCTCCGATGCTGGCCCCAGACTGGAGAATGGCCTCCACGGGCGCTGCCATTGGTGGCTGCAGCTTGGGCTGAGACGGCAGTGATGTGGGCCATAGCCATGGGCAAGTGCATCCTTAACCCAGGGAGAAATCTTTAGTGATGGGTGGGGTAAGAAAGAACTGAAAGAGTGACTCGCCTGTACACTGGATGCTCCAGGGCTGTCCCCACATGGATGTCCCCCTGCTCCTCCCCGCCATCACAACCCAGGTGCCCACTGAGAAGGGTCAGCTTGGCAAGCTGATTCCTTGTCTTTGTTTGGCAGAAGACACCCTTGAGGCTTGGGGACTGGGATAGTTGGAGCCACAGACCCCAACTTCTGTCCCAGCATGGTCTAGGGTAGGAGGAGGATTCCTGCTTGGATGGGAACTGTGTGGGTTTTAGCCCCAAGCTGCGAATGAACCCCAGCACATCACAAGTCCCCCAACCTCAGTTTCTCCACCTGGAAAGTGGGAAGAGACTGGCTGCTCCTCTCTGGTGGTTGGGAATTTGCATGAGATTCAGTTCCTGGGAAGCTTCAATGAAGGGAAGGATGTTGTGATTGCTCCGGAAGAGGAGGATGGTTCAGAAAATGGAGGAATGGGTTTGGGGAGAGATGGGGGAACCCTCCGCAGGTCCCACCTTTCCTCTCTCTTGCAGGCTCTGAAAGCCGAGTAGCCAGCGGCATGCCTGGCCTGTTGAACCTTCTCACGGGAGCGGCCCTGCCCCTCACCGCGTCCGATGTCACCTCCTTCGTCAGCGGCTACGCCCTGGGCCTGACCGCCTCCCTCACTTATGGCAACCTGGAACCTCAACCCTTCCAAGGTAAGCGCCCCAGTGGGGATGGAGAGGGGAAGTACCGTTCCCTGTGCTAACACTGGCAAGTCAGGGAGCTCTCAGAGCCATTGGCTCCCCATCTATAAAATGGGACTCCATTTCTGCCCTGCGTGCCTCACAGCTAACAGCAGGAAGGGGCAGGATTCAAACTGGCATGGTTTGGGTACAGCCCCAGCCAAGTGTTCCAACTCTCCGACTTCCCCACATGTACGGGGAGCCTCATGGCAGGACAGGCACTGCGACTCAGGAGAAAATAGGCGTGCCCAGCCCAAGGCAAGGCTCTGGCTCCTGTGACCTTGAGGAAGCCACTGTCCTCCAAAGGTTAGGATACTCCTCTTTACCGGTAGGAATGCTGGGCGGGAGTGGGGGCGGGGCAGATGAGGTAATGCAGCGGGGAGGTGGTGCGGACAGCAGGCAGCTGCGACTGAGTCATCAATGCAAGGATCAGGCTCTCAGATGGACAGATGGACAGGCGGCTGCCAAGAGGCATCAGTGAATTAGATGCCCCGCTCCCCGAGAGTGTTCGGTAGGGTGCCATGGGGGATGGGGGCTGGTGGCAACCAGGGTCTCCTACTCCCCTGCAGAGATGGGACCTCCTCAGCACCAAATGCCTTCCCTTTGGCACCTACCTGCAGCCCCAACCCAAGGCTCTGGAAACCAGTCCAGGGCTGCCCCGTGGCCCTCCCAACCTGAATACACCTGCCCGGAAGTTCTCCTCCCAGGCAAAGCCAAGTCTGCCACTTTCCAAGGAGAGCTAGAGGGAACAAATAAGGCCAGTCTGGGACCCCAGGGAACTAAATTCTTGAATACCCTGGAGATAGTTCTCTCTCTGGCGTTCCACATGCAGGAAGAGAGGCTCAAACAGGAAGTCAGGGTTGGGGAGGGCTCACCATGTCCAGTGTCATTCTCTCCCTATCTTGGAGAGCAGATTAAGACCTTGATACTTCCTGTGGTCCCTGAACCATCAGCACCACTTGCAAGCTGCTAAGAAATGCAGTCTGAGGTCTTGGGGGTGGGCCAGGGTTTATTTGAAAAAGAAAGAAAGCTTCCATCTGCTGGTTCACTCCCTAAAAGGTCACAACAGCCAAAGATGGGTCACGTCAAAGCCCAAAACTCCATCTGGATCTTCCACATGGCAGCAGGTCATCGTCCCCTGCCTTCTCAGGCACTTTAGCAGGAAACTGGATCAGAAGCAGAGGAGGTGGGACCCGAACCAGTGCTCTGATCTGGGATGCAAACATCCCAGGTAGGACTCGAACCACTGCACCACAACACTAGCCCTGCCTTTTCACAAGACCTCCAGGCGCTGTACACAGTCCTAAGGCTGGAGAACAGCTGGGTGACAGATAAGCAAGTGCACACTGAGACACACATCTTCACCCGTGGCAGCCACTTCTCCGCATGTGGCTCTTATATTCTTATCTTAGAGACAAGCCAATGAGGCTTTGAGAAGTTAAACTGCTCGCACAAGGCCACCTGGACTGGAAAGGAGGCAAGTCTTGGACTTGAGCCCTTGTCTACCTCCTCCACAGCCCCAGCTCCCAGTGCTACTGGTGGCAAACTAGTGCCAGTGGTGGAATTGCCACACAGGTGTCTTCTGTTAGGCTTACAAAACAGATCCACTTTCTCTCTCTCTCTCTCTTTCTCTGTCTGTCTCAGCAAATCAGAGGTCCTGGGCACACCACACCTGCCAAGCAAGAGCTGGCTGGAGCTGAACAGACCCCACACACACCGTTCCCCTCCCAACCTCCCCACCCCAACCAGAGCCTTGGTCCCAGGTCCCTTACATCCCTAAGGGACAATCCCCTGCTGGACAGGTCTAAGTCTCAGGGTCCTTTCCAGAAGCAGGTGTCTGGGATGGGACTGGACACCCCAACACAGAGCTCCACCCCTACAGGTCTCTTTGTGTACCCACTGGATGAACACACGACTGTGATAGGCTTCGAGGCTGCCATTGCCGACCGGGTTGTCACGGTACAGATCAAGGACAAAGCCAAGTTGGAGAGAGGCCAGTTCGAAACCTCCGGGGTGCGAACAGCAACTGTCACAGGTAAGGACACACCAAGGGGGCTCTAGCCTGGGGCACATTGCAAGGGTATCCAGGGCATATGCTAGAGAGAATGTGCTGGTCTCAAGTCAGGACTCCAGAACCAGCATCCTGTGTGGCCTTAGGCTCAGAAGTAACTTCTCTGAACCTTAGCTTTGGACTAAGTAGGCTTGGTGGAAGACATTATTATTCAACTGATAACACATCTAATGTGTCACTGTTTACCCACTTGAATGCATCTTGAAGTATGGGGAAAGTACAATAATGAACTAAGTAGGGTGTAATCAAATAAGCGATTCTGTCCACCAGTGTGCCCAACCAGGCCAGCTTACAACGAACACTTACATCATTGTAAGCACTCAAAACCTGGATACTGGGTCTGCCACCAAGGAAAGTGGGACTCAGAGAGGGAGAGTGTCTGGCTCAAGGCCACACAGCATGATCCTGGCAGAGCTAGGGAATCCTATGACATAAGACAGTCTGACCGTTGGAGCTCTGACCCTGGTAGAGTTTGTTCACCTGATCCTAAGCTGCTTGAGAATCTAATTTGCCCACCTGAAGAAGGTGGGCAACTGGATCGGGCTATCCCAACTTTCCCCAGGCTGGAAAAGCAGATGGGCACAAGCAGGGAGAGCCCTAGGAGGAGCCTGAATGGTACTGGAGGAGAGAGAGGAGGGGAGCAAGGGAGGCTTTGCAGAGACCTGGGTGGGTAGGTGGGAGTGGCAGGACTAGAAGGTCAGAGCGTGAGAAAGCACGGCTCCCAGCCATCAGAGTGCTTCCGTTTGAGTCTGGGGTTGGTGGGTGAGGGTGGGAAGGTGAGCCTCTGTTGAGGCTTTCCTTGGACTGCCAGCAAGGTATAGTAGGGAAGGCACAACCCAAAGTCAGCCCCATGTGGCCTAGCCCACAAGTAAGTGCTCCATTGGGTGACTTGGGCTGGTAATACGCCCACACAGAGCCCCGGCTTTCCCTTCAGCAAAGTGGGACGACTCCAAGCTGCCCCACAGCAAACATGGAGGGGACCAGAGTTAACCAATGCACAGCCCCTGACGCCAGCCTGGCACTTAGGGAACATCCTGCAAGAAGGGGTTTCCATCACCCCTCACTCCTGCACACCGGGAAAGGTGGCCTTGGACGAGGATTTGGAGCGCATCCTGTTTGTGGTCAACCTGGGCACCATCGCCCCCATGGAGAATGTCATCATCTTCATTAGCACCTCCTCGGAACTTCTGACGCTGCCCAGCGGGGCCGTGAGGGTCCTGCTGCCCGCTGTCTGCGCCCCAACTGTGCCCCAGTTCTGCACCAAAAGCCCCAGCTTCTCCACTCACCAAGCCCAGGGGTAAGACACCCTGCCCACACAGGGACATGAATCTGAGGTGGGCAGCATCAGTAGGGTGAGGGTGGTGGACACAGAGTGGGGAGATGGGGACCAGAGAGGAGGCTCTGTTCTCTGTGCCACTGCTCAGTAGTTTGCACTTCTGCCCTGTCCTCGGGCAATTGAGAATCCCCCAGAAGCGACCCTGTGGTGGCACCAGCTACTTCTAGAATTAGGGTAGCTTGGGATCAGCATTTTCAGGCTTTGCTTGTGAATTTGCTCAAGAGATTTTTTTTTTTAATGGTTTATCTAAAACATAAAATGACAGAGGGAGAGAAAGGAGAGGTAAATTGATTTGCTGATTCACCCCCCAAATGATTACAATTGCAGAAGCCAGGAACTCCATCTGGGTCTCTCACGTGGAAGCAGGGGCTCACGCACTTGGACCATCTTTTGCTGCTTTTCCAGACTCATCAGTAGGAAGCAGAAGTGGGGCAACTGGGATTGCAAATAGTGCTCATACTGAATTCAGGCACCTCAGACGGTGCCTTAACTTGCTGCACCACAATCGCCAATCGCAAGAGATATTTTCTGAGTACCTACTATGTGCTGGAGCCTGGGCAGAGCATTAAGGATAGAGAGAAAATGAAACTGGGTCCTGCCCCATAGGAACTTCCCCATAGGTGGAAGAAATTATTATTCAACTGATAACACAACTAATGTGTCACTGTCTACCTGCTTGAATGCATCCTGAGGTATGGGGAAATACAATGAATAAGTTTGTTGAGCTAAGAGTATAGAAGAGGGACCCAAATCAGGGTCAGACCAGGGGTACAGAGGAAGCACCTCTGCAGGTCATGACGCAGGGACCTAGGGAGCAAGCTCGGGATCGCCACGAGGAACTGAAGCATAGATGCTGCGCAGTAACCCTGACCTTGACCATGGCAGAGATTCTGTTCTCAGCAGGGTGAGGGTGTGAGCACTCAAGACCAGCACCAGGACAGCTGCTTCTCAGGATACCCTGTGGGAAGCAGATGGAAAGAGAGACAAAACACAGTCTGAGGCCCCATTGCCAAGGTCACGTGCTGTCAAAACAACTGCTCTCAGACACTGAGGGGAACAGACGGAGTAGCCTGTTTTAGCTGGCATAGATGAGGCTTGGGTAACAGCCGGGGCCTGCCCTGAAGGAAACAGCTAGCCACCAAAGTCCTCTAGAGGAAGGACAGAGAGACGAGCAGGTGTGATGGGAAAGCCAGCACAGCTGCGGGAGGTATGAGACAGGGACTGTGACTCGAGAAGGGAAACGGGTAAGGAGCGAGGTTAGAGAGGTGGGGAGGAGTCAGAAAGACCAGGGTCCTGAAAGCCAGGAGGAAGACAGATGGCCAAGCAGGAAAGTTCTGGGCACCAGCTGGCCTCAGAACAGGGTGCACAGCTGCGTGTTTGGTGCCCCTTGAGCTCCGCTACTGGCCATTCCTTGTGCATCTGAGAGGCAGGGCCTCACTGGGACACTCAGAACTATAGCAATCCACAGACAGGAAGCTCCAAAGTGGGTTCTGTGAGCTCACTGCTGCCCATCCAGTCATGAAATTAATAGTGATTGACACACCAGAGCCAAGATTGTCTCATCCCTGTGTGCTTCACATAGAGTGATGTCAAACCAAGTCTGAGAACAGATGGCATTTAGAGTAAGTGAGGCCGCAGGAGACAAGGTACTCTCGCTCACCACTGATAGGCATGGGAACTGGGGTGGCCGCTGTGGTGACAACATCACTTGAAGATCCCAGGAAAGTCACCATGATCTGACACAGAGCAGTGGAGGGAGAGCAGCAAGTACCCACTGTGTCACAGAGGCCTGGCCCAGCACAGGTGCGTCTCAGAGGTGGCTGTGCCTTCTGACTCCAGGCTTTCCCTGTAGCCATGTTGAGGAGGATAACATGGGTCTGAGGGGTAGCAGGAATGTCCCAGGCCCCCTTAGCTGGAGCGCCAGGGACTCACCCCCACTCCTTGTCTTCTCATGCCCCTCCCTCACCTTTGTCTACCCTCCCCAGCAAAGACAGGCATTGTTTTGGCCCCCGGGCCCTGGACTCCTGGAATAAGCTGTGCCTGGCAACTTTGCTAGACACTAATGTGTCCAACCCCATGGAGTACGACTTCAACTTCCAGCTGGAGATCCGGGGGCCATGCTTGCTTGCAGGTGAGCAGGGGCTGCCCAGGGCAGGGGGCTCCCTGGGTCAGCAGGGCTTCAGACCCAAAACTCCCAGGGATGGACAGAGAGTGTGGGGGGAAGAGCTGGGGAACCCCTCCCTGGACAGCTTCAAAGGCCGTCCCTGGTATCCACAGGGTCACAGGTGTCAAGGAACAGGGACATTTGGTCATCTCCAGGAGGTTGCAGCAACAAGTCTGCTTCCCACACCCTACTCAGAGACTCTGGGATGTGTCCGGTTTGGGTAGGGGAGGCATTTAAAAGCATCGCCGCCCCACCCCCATGTAGTGGTTCTGCCCTGCAGCCAGGACCAAGGGCCATCGTTTTTGTAGTCTCTTCATCCCTCATGGGCCTTTGCCAGGATACCAGGACACTGGCTGTGGCTGGTGAGCACCCACGATGTGGCCTTCCAATGTGAGATGCATTGTGATGCACCTGCCAATGGGTAGACACAGATGGAGCTGAGCTGTCCGTGTCTGCTTGGGACCAGCCTGGGTGCTTTGTGGGCCCTGATGGAAGAGCAGCCTTTCTAGCCTCTGGATTGTGAGGGCCATCAGACAGCATCTTCCCAGGCCCACCACATTATACATATAGGGAAACTGAGGCAGCATGTCTCCCAGAGCAGGTTAGGGGGCTCTCATGTGGGCAACATGCCAATCAGCTCCAACCCAGGCCCAATTCCTGTCTCTTCTTCCCCTCTGTGCCCCACTGAGCTGCTCAGGAGTGGAAAGTCCCACGCATGAGATTCGTGCCGACGCTGCCCCCTCAGCCTGTTCAGCCAAGAGCATCATCATCACCCTGGCCAACAAGCACACCTTCGACCGACCCGTGGAGATCCTCATCCACCCCAGCGGTACAGTGTCCCTGGCGGGACCTGGGCTGCCTGTGGGAGGGAAGAGGGGCTGACCCAGTGGGCCAGAGCATGTGAGCCTCCCAGCAGCTGATGGGTCCAAGACTCAAGGCTGTGGCAGAAGGGAAACTTATTATGTGCCTCCTGGGAAATGACTCTGGCAGGCAGGCCAGAAGCCCCTGGTCTCAGCTTCTGCCTGGGGCTTTTAACTTCAAATCAGCTGACTAGAAGCTCTTTGAAACTCTCCTTGGAAGCTCTGAAACCTCAGAGTAAGACTCTTGGTCTCTTGAAGAATTCACAGAATGCCAGGATCTAAGAAGACTGCAGAGTAGCTAGCTCAATCCCACTCCCCTTTTACAGATGGATAAATGGAGGCTCAGAATGAGGCCCACCTAAAACATCAGCCCCACTCCCTCCTGCTCCAGGCAGCCAGCAACTCCAGCCCCTTCTTCCAATGAAGGGGTCTTACCCCTGTGTAGTTCCCAAGGGCCCTGGAGTCTCCCCCAGCCCCAGACAGTGCTAAGCGCTGGTCTCATCTCTGTAGAGCCCCACATGCCTCATGTCCTGATGGAGAAAGGGGACATGACCCTGGGGGAGTTTGACAAACACCTCAAGGGAAGGACCGACTTCATCAAAGGCACCAAGAAAGACAGCAGCGTCGAGCGGAAGGTGAGTGGATGGCAACAGAGTAGAGCCAGAGAGGAAGGAGGCTGGGCCTGGGGAAGGCATGTGACCCACCCAAGGTCACACTGAGGGGTGGCAGACCCTGGGTGAGAGGTGCTTCCCTCCGAGGCAGAGACGCTGCAGAGCAGATGAGCAGGGCACTTCCAGATGCCGTAGACATCTGCTCTGCCTTCCCGCCTCCTTCCAGCACACTTCCACAGTGCCTGAACCAGGCAACATGGGCAGCAGTAGCAGAAACAGGCCATCCTGTCCCCAAGGGGCAGCTGAGACCCTGCGGATGCTGGGTGCCCTCCCAGCTCAGCTTCTGCTTTATCTTCTGCGGCCCCTCGCTTCTCCTCTTACAGATCCTCACTCGCTCTCACATCAAGGACACACGCAGAGCTGGTCAGCCCAGAGCAGGTTCCCACGGTCCTCATGGAGCTAAAGGAGGAAGGGAGTCTGTCCAGGGAAGCAGAGATGGAGAAGGGAGTTGGCCTAGTGACCTCCATTCAGCACGGTCCAGAGAGCCCAGATAGGTTCATGGAGACAACATGAATCTTTCTCTCAGCTCCCTTCTTAGAGAAGAACACCAAGGCCCACTGCCCAAAGAGAATTAGTAAGCTGGAGGAAGAAGGCGTGTCCTCAGAGTTTTCCCTGGTAACAAAGCTGAGGAATTGGAACCCACTGTGCCATTTAGCTGAAATTACCAACCCTTGCCATGAGGAGCTGGAAGACCAACAGTGGCTAGGAAAGCATGGATAGCTTTCTGCCATCCTGTGGTTGGAGAGCCCTGTGGAAGCCCCTGACTTCCCAAGTGGCCCCTCACCCAGGTGCATCACTTGGGAGAGGAAGCTGGATAGAGTCAGTGATGCCAGGATGGCACCGAGCTCCAAGAACTGCAGCAAATGGGCAGGCAGGGGCAAGAGGGGCTCCCTGGCCCCAGAGTGGCTGCTATGCCTGCCGAGCTTTAAATCCATTAGCTCGGGGACTACAGAAGCAAATGAGAATTAATTTGCCACCTTAGATTGATTATGCAAATACACAGGATCCTCTCAAGCCCCAGGGTCTGCGCACAGCTGCTCAGCAAGATGAGTTTATTGTAACTGGGTAATGGCAGCTGGAGGAGACCCCCGGGAGCCCCACCCAGGCCCTCCACCCGGTCCTCTCAGAGGCAGAAACCGGGCTCCTGGAGGTGGCTGTTCTCCCTGACAGATGCAGCAGTTGCTGCCCTGGGCTCTGTCATTGCAAAGCCAGGCTGGGCAACAGCCCTTGGCAGAGGGGCTCTGCATGGGCGGGAAGGGCAGTGATCAAATCCACCTGGGAGGATGTAGAAGGTTTTCCAAAAGCTGCAAGTGGAAGTAGAGATGTGTCCACAGAAGGGAATCAGTAAGTCTGCAAAAGCACACTCACTGCTGAGAAAAGCCAGAGCAGGTTCCACCCTGAGTGAAAGAGAAGGAGGCCATTACTTGACTGAAGCGGGCTTCTTGCTGGTGCACCAACTCGACACATTCTCACAGTTGCCCTCAGGTGTGGCTGTGTGTACTCTGGCTTACTTAGACATCTTAAAATATGTATTTATTGATTTATTTGAGTTAGAGAGAGAGGAAAAAGAGAGGGAGAGAATGAATCTTCCATCTGTGAATTCACTTCCCATTTCCCAAATGATTACAATTGCCAGGGCTGAGTCAGACCAAAGCCAGGAGCCTGGAACTCCACATGGTTGGCAAATGCCCAAGCACTTAGGCCATCTTTCATTGCTTTGCCAAGTACATAAGCAGGGAGCTGGATTGGAAGTGGAGCAGCCAGGACACAAATTGACATTCCAATAGGGAATGCTGGGCCCAGCATGAAAGCTGAATGGCTGAATCCTCACCTTGGGTCCACCAGGATCCCATATGTGTACCATTCATGTCTAGGCTGCTCCACTTCCCATCCAGTTCACTGCCTATGGCCTGAAAAAGCAGTGGAGAATGGCCCAACGCCTTGGGACCCTGCACCCATGTGGGAGACCCAGAAGAAGCTCCTGGCTTCAGATTGGTTCAGCTCTGGCCTCAAGCAGGTACAGCCACTTGAGGAGTGAACCAGCAGACAGAGAATCTTTCTGTCTCTCCTTCTCTGTGTATATTTGCCTTTCTAATTAAAAAAAAATCTTTAAAAAATTAAAAAGCAATGTGGGATGCTGGTGTTGCAGATGTTGGCTTAAGCCACTCCACCATAGTACCAATCCTAATTGGCCCCACTTTAATGGGAAAACAGACTTAGAGGAGGGGCTTGCCCAGGAACATGTAGTTGGATAGTGGCAGATCTGGGGTTCACAGCCACGTTTGTCTGCCTGTGAAGTCTGAGCTGAGCATTGAAACCTGGGAAAGTCTAGCTCACAGTAGAACCGAGGATGCTCATCCAGGACATCTATGGAACATAGTGGGAGAGGGAATGTTGACTTGGGAAGGGATAATGGGACCAGCGTGAGTGCCCCAAGGATCTCCAGACCCCTGGACTGCCTGGGAATGGAGATGGCATCTTGGGGATAAGGACCAGCGTGAGTGCCCCAGGGATCTCCAGACCCCTGGACTGCCTGGGAATGGAGATGGCATCTTGGGGAGGGATAAGGACCAGCGTGAGTGCCCCAAGGATCTCCAGACTCCTGGACTGCCTGGGAATGGAGGTGGCATCTTGGGGAGGGATAAGGACCAGCGTGAGTGCCCCAGTGATCTCCAGACCCCTGGACTGCCTGGGAATGGAGATGGCATCTTGGGGATAAGGACCAGCATGAGTGCCCCAGGGATCTCCAGACCCCTGGACTGCCTGGGAATGGAGATGGCATCTTGGGGAGGGATAAGGACCAGCGTGAGTGCCCCAGTGATCTCCAGACCCCTGGACTGCCTGGGAATGGAGATGGCATCTTGGGGAGGGATAAGGACCAGCGTGAGTGCCCCAAGGATCTCCAGACCCCTGGACTGCCTGGGAATGGAGATGGCATCTTGGGGAGGGATAAGGACCAGCGTGAGTGCCCCAGTGATCTCCAGACCCCTGGACTGCCTGGGAAAGACCCCTGGACTGCCTGGGAATGGAGATGGCATCTTGGGGAGGGATAAGGACCAGCGTGAGTGCCCCAGTGATCTCCAGACCCCTGGACTGCCTGGGAATGGAGATGGCATCTTGGGGAGGGATAAGGACCAGCGTGAGTGCCCCAGTGATCTCCAGACCCCTGGACTGCCTGGGAAAGACCCCTGGACTGCCTGGGAATGGAGATGGCATCTTGGGGAGGGATAAGGACCAGCGTGAGTGCCCCAGGGATCTCCAGACCCCTGAACTACCAGAGTCAGAGAGCCTTTCTTTCTCCTCCAGACAGAAATCATCCGGAAACGCCTTCACAAAGATATCCCCCACCACTCCGTGATCATGCTCAACTTCTGTCCAGATCTCCAGTCGGTGAAGCCGAACCTGAGGAAGAGCCATGGGGAATTCATCTTCCTGGTGGACAGGAGTGGCAGCATGAGCGGCACCAACATCCTCCGCGTCAAGGTGGGCACCTGCTCCCAGGGCTCCTTTCACCTGTGGGCCCTGTGCTCTCCCAATCTGCCTCTTTCAGCCCCCTACACTCAATTACTCCATAAATGAAATGCTGTGAGTGAAGGCAGAGCTGTCTCCTTTGCACCAACGGTGGGGTCCCCAACAGCTGTCATCTCACTCCCTAAACCTCAATTGCATGTATGCAGTGGCTAAAATGTGTCGTCAGATGCTGGATGGAGAGGGACACAGGAAGGAGATGGGAGAAGCCAATATTTGGGGGCGGAGGATGTGGTGGTCAGACACTGTGCTAGTCACTTAAAGCACAGCTTGAGATTGCAAATCCAGACAATATCCCTCTGCAATTAGCCCTACTGCCACTTTCTCCAACTGGGAGATTACCCCAGATCACACAGCTGGTGTGATCAGAGATAACACCCACATATGCGTGACAGTTCTCACCACCCCACACCAAAAAAACAAACATTGAACACAGTCCCTGCCACCAAGGAACACATAAAATCTAACAGAAAAGAGTAGACTCCTCTTTTTTTCTGAAATGTTTACCTTATGCCAAGCCCTGTGCTTGGCCCTCTGGGGAGACAGCAAGTCACAAACACAGGGGCTACTCTGCAGGGGCTCCCAGTCAAGCGAGGGACTCAGGTCAGCCAGCCTGGTTTCCCTCCTAAGAAGAGCTTTGAGGGAGAGTAGGACAGAGTGTGGTGGGCCCTGTCCCCTTCCCACCAGAAGCGGTTCCTCCTCCTGTTTGTCTTGATTATGGCACTACCCAATGGTCCCTTGTGGTTTTCGTTGTACATATAGAATTGTGAACTCAGTAAGAGGAATAAGGGCCAGATCTTTCTTATCCTTCTGTCCTCATGGAACCTAGCCCTGTGTTCATGCGAGCAAACCCCAGTCTGCTGTTGAACTGAGTAGATCATACTTCAGAGAACAAGGGGTGGGAGGACAAGAAGGGAGTAGGGTCCTGCTGTCACCTGGAATGTCATCCACCCCCTGGCACAAGCTCTTGTTTCCAGGGCAACAGACTCAGCAAGGAGAGGTGGGGTTACTGGGTAGAGTATGAAGCCAGCCACCTCTGAAGTTTTCCTAGATCTGAGTTTTGCCTTGAAGTACGACAGAGGACACCTACGGAAGACCTCTGGAATGTGTGCAGCTGGCTGGGGCTTTCTCCCTCCTCTAACTCCACATCAAAGGCAAGAAACAGAGTGTGGAGCTATCCAGCGTGCTGTGGTCCTGAAGCACGATCCAGGCCTGTCTTCCATCTGTCTCCCATTGAACAAGCAATAGGAACATTATAAGAGAGCCCCTCCCTGATGCTAGAGCCACATACCTGTACCATCCCTAGGGAACACTTCGTCCATAAAGAAACAGAGTCCCCAGGAGGCTAAATTCTCTTCCCACTACCACAGGGCTGATAAGACTGAGCCTCCTGCATCTGGCCTCAATGCTCATCTCCCCTTGCCTTGCTTGTGGGGAATTATACACACTTTTCCACTAAAACAGTGTCCTCTGTGATTATGTCATTTCTGCTATATATGGCATTGTGGAAAGAGAAACTCCTGGAGCTCAGTGTTGATTCTACCACTGACTTGCTGTGTGGCTTTAAGCAAACAGGATCTCCACTCTGGGCTGCATATGTCCTGTCTATGAAATAAGGAAGAAGGGTTAATTCAGGGAGGACAAATATATGTCACCCCCTTTCTGCTGTCCTCCCCCAAGCCCAGGCAGACATCACTAATCAATTATGACTCTTTTTTTCCTCTGCTGAGCCTGAACTGTTTCAATGTCTTTCTTATCCAAGTGTTCTAGCCAATAACAACCAGTTTGCAAATGTAAGTGTGCTTCCTGAACTGAAGACCTTTGCTTTCTAGAATTTTCTAGCAATTTTATCTGGCACTCCTTTCAGTTCTCTTTTCCTTGGAGCCTGCGTTACTCTTCTCCAACTCAACTCTCTGATCTCAAGCTCACCTCCTCACAGATGGTTTTGCATTTATGCATGCCACAACACTAGGCGTGCACTTTTACAGAAAGCTGAAGACTACCTAAGCCACAGACACACACATCTCCGAGGACAGTAAGGTCCCTGAGGAGTGCTTGGGCCATTTATTATGGCACATTGGGTTGAAGCTTTAGGAAACACTGGGCTTAGGGAGAAGGAAGAGAATAGAAATCCAAACAACGTGTGCCAACAGAGAAAGTTCAGCCAATTTAATTTCCTGCAGCTGGTCTCATTCTTCAGCTGCCACTTGCTGCCAAAACCCATGCCTTTAAAATTCTAATAGGTGTGAGCAGAGACAATCTGCGTGGATCAGCAGAGTCTCCTGCTAACAGGAACATGCGCCAGTGACTAATGGAAAAGTAAGCAGGTATTGACTTCCTTTGTAAAGACACAGAATGTATTGACACAAGCAATGGAGAGAGGGAGACAACGTCAGTGCTGATGTTTAGTGTTAATGTTTGCAGAACAAGTGGGCGGGGGGGTCTGTGGATCTGCCAGCTTGGAAGGCTGTAGGTGGGCTGTGGGAGTGACCAGCATCCATAGCATCTGTTTCCTCCTAGATCTCGAAGCATAATGGTTTCTCTCTCTCTGAAGCCAGGCTGAGATTCCTCCCATCAGTAAATTCTGGGAGTGGAGGGGAGGTTTTTGTTCCTGAGTTCTGTACCAAGGCAGAACAGACATGAATACAGATCTGGGAACTATGTGAGGTGTTTTTTTTTTTTTTAAGATTCACTTCTTTATTTGAAACACAAAGTCAGAGCAAAAGAGGGGGGAGGAAAGAGATCTCTTAATCATTGATTCACTCCTCCAAGTAACCATAACAGCTAGAGTTGAGCTGGACTGAAGCCAAGAACCAGGTCTCCCACATGTGCCAGGGGCCCAAGCACTTAAGCCATCTTCTGCTGTTTTCCCAGGTTCATTAATAGGGAGTTGGGTCAGAAGTGGAACAGCAGGTGCTCCAACAAGTACCCATGTGGTGTTGCAGATGGTGGTTTTACCTGCTATGCCAGAGCACCAACTCCAGGAGTTGTGTTTTCAGAGTCTGGGTTGTATTCTCAAGTTCTATAAGCCAGAATGGCCCCTTAACCCTCCTGAGCCTCAGTTTCCTTATCTGTATAATAGGATTACTTTTAATGTAGACTTTAGATGGGTTAGCAAGAATTGTCATTTATTGCAGGTTTACTTTGCACCGGAGTACCTCTCAGAGGGATGATATAACCTACCCAAGGTCAAGTTAGTAATGATGAAAGTGGTATTTAAATCTAGATGCAAAAGAAGTCCCCTTAACCACCATGCTGTAACCCATGGTGGAGAGATGATATCAGATAGCTGCTCTCAAGGGCTTAGCACCATGTGTGGCATGCAGTAGATATTTAACATCCCAATGTATCATCACCATTACCACCCCCCTCATCATCTGCACTTCTGCCAGCACTTCTACCTTCTTCTCTCTCATTATTTTTCCCCATATACATTTATCTGGGGTTCCCAGGGGTGCACAGCTTTATCAATGAAAACTCCAATGTCCATTAACTTAGGAGGCAGATGATGTGTGCTTGCTGTCTCCCTGGCAAGCCACTTCACCTCTTCTGTAAAATGGAAATACTGGTGTACCTACTTCAAGGGGGTTTTGTAGAGATTAACGAGGCAGGGCATGAAAAACACATTCTGTGCTTATAACAATGGTGAGCAGAAGAGACCGTCCCCAGGGATAGAGCTGAGGCAGGCTGAATCCCATGCAAAGGCCCTGAGTGAGGGCCAAGAGCTGCTCCATCCACAATGTGACCTCCTCTGGCCACTTCCCTCCCTTGGACATCTATTTTGCTTTGGCAAAAGGGAACAGGTACCCCCTGCACTCAACCTCTCAGGGTCAGGGAGAGGTGAAATGGAACTGGCGGCTGGAATCGAATGGCTTTGGGAAGTTGGACCTGCTTCACTGCTGAGGAGTTTTATAATAATGGCTTTATCCAGTCCCTGTTCAACATCAGTACATTTCCTGACATGAGAAGGAAGTGCTGGGTGCAGAGAGGGAACACGAAGGCCTCCATGGAGGCAGCCCTGCTGGGGGTGTGGATGCTGGTGTGTGGCAATGGCAAGGCCAGAGCCCCTGCCTGAACCCTCGAACCCCTTCTCTCACCTCCCAGGATGCCTTGCTGGTGGCGCTGAAGAGCCTCATGCCAACCTGCCTCTTCAACGTCATTGGGTTTGGATCCACATTCAAGACTCTCTTCCCTTCCAGCCAGACCTACAATGAGGTAAGGCAGGGGCAGGCCTGGGCACCAGGAAAGTGGTGGGTGGTGAAGAGCAGAGGAAGAGGAAAGAGGAGGTTACCTTGAGGACTGTCTCAGCCACTGCCCACCCAAGGAGCCCTGATCACAGCCAGGGCAGCCAAATGGGGTGCAGAGGGGAGAGACCCATCTCTGCTGAGGTGTTTTCCTGACCCCTCCACCTCATCAGAATAAAATAGGGGTGTGTGTGTGTGTGTGTGTGTGTGTGTGTGCAGAGATGGGAAAGGATAAAGGGGAAAGGGGAGGGCATGCCCTAGACATGGCACATGGACAGTCTCATGAGAACAAAGGACTCATGCAGGGCTGAGCTAAAAAGGTGAGTGGTGTAGAGAGGAGTGAGCAGGTGGGTGAGTGGGCATGAAGTGGGATAAGGAGAGGAGCCCTGCAACTGCTTGAAGCAGGAGGGCTGAGGCCTCAGCAGCAGGTGCAAAAATCAGAGCATCCTGCCCAGATCTAAGGAGGACGAAGGGAGAGAGGGAAGCAGGAAGTGAGAACACTGGACAACTTTTTAACTAAGAATAATTTTACGAATTTTTTAAAATGCAGATGAGTTACAATTGTTAAGTTTAGGTCATCAAAAAGAGATGTTTTTTTTTTTTTAAATCTCTCTTGATTACACCATCCAGACAATAGAGAAGGCAAAATGCTATGAGAGCTTGGTATCCATCCGTGAAGCCTTGTTCTGTTTGTGTGTGCATGAGTAGGTAGGACCAGGCCTCCACACTGCTCAGAATCCACTTTTCTAACACCAGAATCTATATGCATCCATTTTTATACTATTCAGTATTTATTGCTTACCTTAATTTTAATAACCACCTAATATTTCACTGGAGAGATTGAGTTTTTTCACAAAACCCTACAGTTAGCATTTAAATTGTTTTTATCTTTTTCCAGGTAGTCAGTTTTGTATCATAGATTTTGCTCATATACTTAATCATTCCATTGAAGTGAATTCCTACTCTTACTGGTTCAAGATCTTAAGAATATTTTTTTTTAACACTGACTTATTTGAAAGGCAGAGGTGGCGGGGGGGTGGGGCAGGGACAGAGAGAGATTTTGCATCTGCTGGTTCACTCCCCTAAAAGACCGTAATAACCAGGACTGAGCCAGGGAGAAACCAAGAGCCAGGAACTCCATCTGGGTCTCCCACATGAGTGCCAAGGCCCAAGCACTCAGGCCATCTCCTGACATCTTATGTCAGGCACTCAGGGAGCTGGAATGGAAGTGCAGCAATGACAGGAAGTTCCAGCCAGCTAAATGTGGGTCCAGAGGGAGGAGACCCGAAGCCCAGACACAAGGCCTAGTTTCCTCAAAGTGTCCCAGGAGTCGGTACCAGAATCAGGCTCAAGGTTCAAGTCCTAACAATTTCTGGTCTGGGATTCTTCCCACATCACCTGTCTCTCGGTGAAAAAGGAACCCTCGCTTGTGCTGAGAATTCAGGCTTCACATGCTGCCCTTGGCAGAAAGACATAAATGTGTAAAGAAGCATCCAGAAAGGAAAAGATTCAGGGACCACAAAAAATGGCCTCTCAGGCATCCCTGGTAGAGGTGATGAACTCTACCAAAAAAGTGACCTCCTGTGTTTCCTATGAGCAGCACAGCAATACAGTTGGGAGTATCAACTCCAGTGAGGCTGCCCTTGGATCCAGGGGGAGGCGTGTTTCAGGGTCTCCATGCCACAGGTGACCCTGGGGTCCACTTCCCCCAACAGGAGAGCCTGGCCCTGGCCTGTGACAACATCCAGAGGATGCGCGCCGACATGGGTGGCACCAACATCCTTTCCCCACTCAAGTGGATCGTCCGGCAGCCGGTGCACCAGGGCCACCCACGGCTCCTCTTCCTCATCACGGACGGCGTTGTCAACAACACCGGGAAGGTGCTGGAGCTGGTGCGCAACCATGCCTTTTCCACCAGGTCAGCCCAGGCTGAGGGCTGAAGGCCTGCTCGCCCACACCCCCACACCCCAGGTCCAAAGAGCAACCCACTCAGTGCAGGGCGGCTCTCTCCTTCACTCTCCATTTGAATCTGAGGCCAGCTCCCAGATGCTCTGTGCCTTTCCCCACCAATGCACTAAAGCAGCCCGTCTCTTCCCCCTGCCCCCAGGTGCTATAGCTTTGGCATTGGACCCAACGTCTGCCACAGGCTGGTGAAAGGCCTAGCGTGTGTGTCCAAGGGGAGTGCTGAGTTCCTGGTGGAGGGGGAGCGGCTGCAACCCAAGGTAGGTGGAAGAGCCCCCAGTTTCTCCCCATGCCTGGAACTTAACAGCCCCAGAGAGATCAGGCAGCAACTCAGGCGGAGCTGGGAGCTGCACCCTGGTGACAATCATTGAGGTAAGACCACAGCTTGGGCAAACCGTTGGCGCCATCCCTGGAGCCCAGGCCACCTGGTCTCTAGCCCCTCCAGCCTCAGCCACTGGATGGCCAGGAAAGAGGCATCTCAGGGAGCCCCCATATTTATGGCAACAGAGTTGTGTTTGGAGTCATTTCTGGCGCATTCCTGTTGACCAAAAGGAGTGGTTCAGAAAACTCCCAAGGACTCAGAAATAGAGGCATTTTCAGTCTACTCACCACTTCCCAAGTATTCAGCACAAGCAAGTCCAGACCCTCCAGGAGGAGCCACAGACTTCCCAGGAGCACAGAAGGGAAGACTGCAGGCCATAAGGCAGGCCCAGCACCGAGAAAGCAAAACCAGGGCCAGCTTGGGCCAGGAGTCCTGCAGTGGAGACTTCCTGTTAGAAAATCTGCCTCCGCTGAGCTTACAGGCTTCCTGGAATGAGTGTGATCAGAGCTCAAAAGCTCCAGCATTGCAGCTGAAAACCATCTCCTAACAGCATTTTTTGCAAAAACACGTGTGGTCCTCCTAAGAGGGAGATTGGAGCACGTGCGTCTGCAGGTGCTGTGCTCTCTGAGTGGCTTATCCCGAGGCCTGTAGTCCATCTGAGGAAACAGCCTGGGTGATACCAACCCACAGCTGTCATTGCTTGAACGCCTACCACATGTTAGATATTTCAAAGTCCATCAGTGCATGTCATCCTAGCTCAGCGCCTCCACTTAAACAGAAGTAGCATGGAGAAAGATAGGGGCCCACGCGTGGACACAAACCTGGGTGCTAGTCACAGCTTCCTTTTGAGCCTCAGATGTGCCCATTTGACATGGGAGGTTTAGGAAAGAGGAGAGCAATGAGTATTTTCCAATTCTGATGTCAGAATTCCAGCAGGGTTTGCCCTGCCAGGCCAGCCACCCGAGGCTGCTGCACCTGCTCCCCCATCAAGCCCCACCCACATGGTCCCCATAGCCCCCACCTGCCCATGTCCGGCTCACACACATTCACCCAGCCTGTGTTCTGCTCCTGCTCAATAGATGATCAAATCTTTGAAGAAGGCAATGGCGCCTGTCTTGAGTGATGTGACAGTGGAGTGGATCTTCCCTGAGACCACCGAAGTCCTGATCTCACCCGTCAGCAGCAGCTCCCTCTTCCCAGGCGAGCGGCTGGTGGGCTATGGCATCGTGTGTGATGCTTCCTTGTACATCTCCAATCCCAGATCTGTAAGTATCCAAGAAACTCCAGGGGTCCCCGGGGGTCCAGAGCCCCTTGCCTACAAGTCATCCATTGCTGTAATCATGGTTCGTGGCATCCTGGAGCTAATCAAGACTGAGTTTGCAGTTGAGGCCAAAGTTGCCAGGCCTTGGGCATTCCATCATAGAGATGCTATTGGAGTGGAGCCCCCAGTCTCACTGTGGGGTCCTCAAGAACCCCTACTGCAGGTCCTCTTGGGAAACTTTTTTAATATGTGGAGCTAAATCTGGATCTGCTGTCCTGAGGGCAAGGCCAAGGAATCTGCATTTAACATATACTTCAGTTCAAGAACAACTGCACTGGGGGTCCTTTCTGTAAACACTCTTGTCGGCTAAGATCTTGAGTAGGTTTGTGGCTTCAGCTATTCACATGAATCATTCTCTTGTATTTGGTGGTAGACGTGAAAGAAAAGCAGTGCACTTTCCAAAGGGAGGTCAGAGTCACGCTAAAACACGGGAAGTGGCCTGAGTCGTTCTTTCCTCACCCATCCGTTCTCTGTGGGAGATCTCCAATCTCCTTTAAAAGATTCCCCATCTTGTTTTTGCTTTTTAAGAAGCAAACTCAGTCTGCAAAAGGATTGGGTAGGTGTGAAATGGGCTTGGTCTATAAGTGAAAGGCACAGACATCATGCTTGATAATAGCAATCACTGAGTTTATAATTCAAGAGGCATTAAGGAGTGGTGAGAGTGTGGCCGGCTGGATAGCATACTGACTAAATCTGGTAGCTCCTTCTTTCCTCTACTGTGTAGAAATATGGGCTCTGTGCTAAATACATTTCCAAATTTTCAAGAGAAATTGGAATTTGATGTGAAAAGCCCAGATTTTTTAATGTTATGGAATGTCTCAAGAACCATGAGCAGGGTCATGGTCCATGCCTTACAGACTGTTCAAGTCCAGCAGGAAGACCATCAACAAATGTTGCTGAAGCTTTTGCACAGGGCAGACCTTCCTGGAGATCTACGAGGTACCAGATCAACAGACCCTGCAACCAGAAGAGACCCAAGTCCCCCAAGCCCCGTCTCCTTTCCTTACCCAGATATCCTTCAGATATTATGGCTGCAAACCTGACCTGCCACAGCCCTCCTGGAAAGCAGTCTAGAAATAATGAGACGTTAGAAACACAAAAATCTCCCATCTTGCAGATGCCACTGCTAGGAATCCAATGCGCAGAAATAAAAGCGATGCTATGGATTCAGGACCAAGAATTAATTATAGCAGTTCTTGGGGTGGTGAATGACCAAAAAATGGTTGACAAGAAGGGATGGCAAGAGAGGTGATGGGGTGTTAGTGTAAGATATTGTACAATTGAATACTAAAAGGAAAGTTTGACACGGGCAATTTCTAAGGTGTTTCAAGTGTGAAGTGTCAGATACCAATACATGCTAACAGCTCGGTACAATTTTTACAAGCCAGAAAAATCCTCGTGTGACTCTGGCACTGAAGTCAATTATATATATATATATATGCATGATGTATGTGTGTATACCATGTATATATATGTTTATATTATGGAGTGTGCTAGAGACAATCTGTGACTCATTATGTTCATTTTGATGACCTGTTTAGAGACAGGAATAGCATTTTTGACATTTTTGAAGAATGACGTCAAGGATTGAGAACGCAAGTGACATAGCTAATAGGGAAAGACAACTCCATTTACCATCTCTTGAGCAGGAATTGGGCTGCATCCCTGCGCTCATGCTCGCCGCTGCCCCATGCGGAGTCCCTCCTGGCATCTGGCCTCAAGCCTCGCCCCCTCTCTCCCCTCCCTCCAGGACAGCAAGCGGCAGCGGTGCAACTCACTGCAGTCCCAAGAGTCCAGCAGCTCGGTCTTCTGCCACTCTCCAGATGAGGGGCCTGGCCCAGACAGCGGCGACTGTGCAAAGAGCGTGGGGGCACCCTTCCACCTGGAGCAGGCCAGGGACACCCGGCTGTTCAGCGGAGACTCCACCCCTCATGCAGGTGCGTCTGCTCTGCTGCCTTGTCCTTGTAGGCAGCGGATGCGAGATCTCTCAGTGTCTCGCCCTCGTCCGCCTCTGTAACTCCTTCAAATCACTCACTCAATAAAATCTTTAAAAAGCAAGCAGAGAAGGGAGGCACCAGGCATAAGCGGGGGGTGTGGGGTGTAACATTCAGGAAGTACATGCTCCTGGCTGCTCATCTCCTCTGCCTAGAATGCGTGGGACCTCCCGAAGGATCAGAGGGCGCGTCGCTGGGAAGATGGAGCCGAGCTACCACGGGCAAGGCTTCGGGGCCCGGGGGATGGGAACAGAAGGGAGTGCAAGTTTCCAAGCAGGAAAGGGACACACAAGTCCCACCCTGTTCCCTCACCCTGATGGCTTCCCCCATCCTCATCTCTACCCCCTGCCCAGGTCTGGACTCCTCCCCACGACGCAGGGCTTACAGCACCAACCAAATCCCCAACCCCAAGCCCTGCCCAAGGGCCATCACGGCCAGTGACCCCACTGTGCCTGCCAGGAGATACCCACTGCGGAAGGCCAAGCTGCAGGACCTCTCTAATCAGCCCACCTCAGATGTTGCCACTGCCGCCGCTGCCTCTGCCACCCGTGGGCAAATCAGTGTGCAGGTACCCACATGCGGCAAGCTGGGGATGAGCCAGGGAGGATGCGGGGAGGGGCCGTGGTTCAGCCACAAGGACAGGGTCTATGCATGGTGCCCACTATGAAGTGAGTCACCACCTTCCTAATTACCATGCCCACTGGTTCAATTCCCAAATGGCCATAATGGCCGGGGCTGGGCCAGGCCAAAGCCAAGAGCCAGAAACTCCATCTGGATCTCCCACAGGGAGATTGTAGGCCATCTTCCACCAATTTCCCAGGCATATTAGCAAGGAACTGGATCAGAAACAGAGAAGCCACGTCTTTAAACTGGCATTCATATGGCGTTGCAAGCAGAAGCTTGGCCCCCTGCACCACAACACTGGGCCCTCCATGAACTGTTTGCAGTCCCCAGTACTGCACTGCACAGAGATAACTATAGCCTGATGTGCTTCCCAGGACTGAATTTCTAAAAGTAGAACTGCTGGGTCCAGGGGGTGGGACACCTTCTTTCTTACTGGAGAAAGCATTGCTCAACTTCATAGCAGTTTATTCTCCTGCCAGACTCCACCAGATACTCCCAGTGAACACGCTGGCTGTCATGAGATATTTAAACAAGTGCCAATCTGCACGAGAGGGGAAAGTGGTAACTTGCTGTAATTTACCTTGCCCTCATTTTATGGGCTGATTGGGGCTCCTCTACCAAGTCCTCCAAGCTGCCTTGCACTTATTATGAAATTTACCGTTCATTCCCACTGACTGGTAAGAGGATTCTCCTTACGATGATCTTGGTCAGGTGTGATGCGTGTGTATTTCCTAGCTGGATTTGTTGTTTGTTCTAGCGCCAGGCCCATACATGAAATCAATAAAGCAGAACAGAGAGATCATACAGAAAACCAGCTTTGCGCAGAAGCAGGGACGGAGGTGGGAGGCTGATTAGTCACCGTGACTCAGGGGATAATCTGTTTTCAATAAACTGTGGACATTTGTGCCACTCAGAAAAGCAGGGGAAACCCGGCTGCTAGCTCCTCCTGCTGAGACAGATTTCATGTGAATCCAAGATCTGAATCCCCAGACAACACTAAAAGCACAGGCACCCAAAAAAAAAAAAAATCTAGATTTTTGAATGGAAAAGACCTTTGAGGCATGACAGATGGGGAAAATTGATCATTTTAACCACACATCAAAAAGCTTTATGACCAATTTTATTTTAAAAAGTGGTTTTTGACTTATCCGTGGTTTGTGTTTTTGCGTGGTTTCTGAAGCTTGGAGATCAGCCCATGGCTGGAGATGGTTTTTGCTGGCATTTCTCATGGGTGTCGGAGCCCAGGCCTTGTGCTATTGGGCACCGGAGGGGCAGTGTCCTGAAGTTCTAGGGGTGGTAGGAAGAAGCACCATATCTGTCACCTTGGCCTCTGACTCCCAATCTCGCACCCCTCTAGCCCTTGCCAAGCGCTGGCCAAGACAGGAACCAGGTCCCCAAACTCCACGGCCCTGGGGCCCGTAGGCCCTCTCTGCTGCCCCAAGCCTGCCAGCCCCTCCAGCCCTCCAACCAGGATGCTCAGGCCTGGAGTCCCCTGGGAGAACAGGATCAAGGCTCCAGCCAGAAGGCTGCGTCAGACCCCTGCAGTCCCAGGGAGCTAGGTAAGCACCTGCTGGGACCACTGCCAGCCAAGGGGACACTCTTGGCTATAACCCAACTTCACTAGACAAATGGGGAACCCAGACCTGTGTCCAGGTCCCTGAGGGTCCCCAGTGGCCAGCCCCTCCCTGACACCCTCATCCACTCCATTCAACCTGCCTGGGTGGCCTGGGAGGCTGCTTCCACCCCATCCTTGCTGCCCCCACCCAAGGCTCTGGGTTCCCAGGAGGTGGACCTGCCCCTCCCTTGGGGACAAGCCCATGACACCCCCAACTGGCCTAGGAAAGGGATTTATGATCCCTGGGGGGGTAGGGGCTGATCGTGCTTTGGGGTGAATTTACCTGTGGGAGGGATGGAGCCACCACCCCCGCCCCTGTGTGCCTTCCAGGCAGGCAGCCTATCCCCAGTTCAGCGCAAGGCCCTCTTCTCTCTTGGCCGGCAGAGCCTTCCCGTCACTCCTCCACCTTGGAGACAGAGACATCCTCGGACTGGGAGCCCCCGGCTGAGTCGGAAAAGCCCACCAGTCCTGGAAGATCCACCACCCCTCGCCCGGTGCTGGGCAAGGCCCTGGTCAGAGGTCTGCGTGATAGCCAGCACCTGCAATGGGAGGTGAGCTTCGAACTGGGGCCCCCTGGCCCGGCGCGAGGCAGTGGGCGCGACAACGACCTGTGGAGCGAGACCTTCCACCACCTGGCAGCCCGTGCCATCATCCGTGACTTCGAGCAGCTGGCGGAGCGCGAAGGCGAGATCGAGCAGGGTGAGCGCCCCGACCCTTGCCACTCTCGTGGTTCTACCCAGTGCCCACTCACAGCCCGGACCGTCCCTACACACACACATACCTGCGGACCCTGGCCCCTCCTCACAGCACCCTCAGAGCCTGCCCACTGCCCACTCTGCAGGGTGAGAGTTCATTCCTACTCCACTGATCAGCTCCTCCTCTGACTCCCACCACCCCACCACCCTGGCACCTGGAGTCCTGCCTCTCACCTCCCCCGCCCCAACACACACACACATCCATGCCTCCTACTTCCCCCTGGGGATCCCTCCTCTGTGCTTCCAACTCCTTTCCCCTCCCCTCCCAGGGCTTGCCGTTCCTCTGCCAGTCCCACTGTGGGTCTCTGGAGACTGAACAGTGGCAAGCCCTGACTCCCACCCCATCAGCACAAGAGCCAACCAGATGGTATAGGTCCAGATCCCCATGGCAACTGGGGGGACAGGCTCCCCAACAAGCTGTTAGACACAGCTGAAGGTCACCGGGAACACAGCTACCCCCTCAGCCCTGGGCGCTTGACACCAACAACCCCACAATTGAGTGCACCTGCCCAGGCCTGGGTTCCAAAAACTGTCTCATCGGGGTGCTGGGTGAGCCAAGCTGGGCACATGCAGCACCTTGGAGGAAGGTGCCGGATAGGGAAGGTCTCGTTTTCCTACAGCATCGTCCCATATTTAATACATTCTTCTTTTCTACATCGGCAGCTCATCTGACCGGTTCCAAAGCACCTGCCAATCCTTCTTGCCTGTTCCCCACACCCACCCCCAGACTGCCTGTCTTATGGGTCTCCATTACCATGCCCTTTAATTTGACGGATTCTTTCCTGTGTTTGCTTAGCAAGCTGCCAGCCAAAAGCAGAGAACGCTGACCAGGTCCTGCCTTTAGCTGCTGGAGGAGTTCCTGAGTCCTAACCATGACCCCTGCCTCTCCCCTGCCCCGCCAGGGTCCAACCGCCGCTATCAGGTGAATGCCGTGCACACCAGCAAGGCATGCAATGTCATCAGCAAATACACAGCCTTTGTGCCCGTGGACTTGAGCAAGAGTCGGTACCTCCCCACCGTGGTGGAATACCCCAATGCTGGTAAGGCAAGCCGCTGGCTGGGGCACTCCTAGGAGCCACACAGGCTTTCTGAGCCACAGGAGGAGGACAACTGTGATTTGGGGGCGGGGGATGGAATGAGTGTCACAGATCTGCAGGATAGGCTACAAGATGGGCCAAGAGGCTGAAAGGCCCTAAGCAGGAAGTCACCCTTTTGAGGGGCCCCATCCCCTCTGTGAAGCCACCTCACCCTTTCCCCGTCACATCAAAATGACTTTGTTGTAGTTTTCCCAATTGCAACAATGATATGCACTCATTGTAGAGGATTCCAAAATGTAACAGCACACAACGAAGAATGGGATGGGATGGGATGGGATGTGATGGGATGGGATGGGATGGGATGGGATGGGATGGGATGGGATAGGATAGAATAGAATAGAATAGAATAGAATAGAATAGAATAGAATAGAATAGAATAGAATAGAATAGAATAGAATAGAATAGAATAGAATAGAATAGAATAGAATAGAATAGAAAAAAGACAAAACACCTGGGAGCCCAGTCACCCAGGAATGAGCACTAACTACCCCCTGGTTGTGACCATCTTTCTAGATTTCCGTCTGTGGATATATCTACATGTAAAGCAATCAAATGTCACAGGCCCACAATTACACCAATGTGTGCCATGCTTTACAAATATGGGTGTGAAAAATAGTCTCTATTTGATTCCGTTTAACAGCATAGTGTGATCCTTTTAACAGCATAGAGGGTCTCCCTTATCATGGTAGGTCCAAGGCATTTGTGTATTTTCCAGGTTATCTAACCCTGAGCGCTGCTCTGCCAAGTCGGTACTGCCATCACTCCCATTCTGTAGGTGGGAACTGGAGGCAGAAGTGAGCTAAGTAACTCTGCTGAGGCTCCCCAGGGGCCTGGGTCAAGTCTGTTTTCTTTTCCGAGATTTATTTATCGGAAAGGCAGAGTTAGAAAGAAAAAGGAAGCAGCATGTTAAGTGTGGCCCAGGACACCAGCACTGGGCCAGAGGTTTCTAAAAGCAGAAAGGAAAAGAAAGGAGAGTCCCTATCCAGAAAGCCACACTGCTTCCTGAACAGCGTCGGGGGCAGCCTCACCCTGTCCAGGGGAGTGTCATCCCCACTGCCCAACGAAGGGACCCAAGGCTCAGAATGGCCAGCGCCTCATCCCATTGGTAAAAGATGAGGCTGGGTTGCAAGGCCAAAGGTCAGGTTGCATGATGCCTTTGGATCATTCAAGCATTGGAGCCAGAAGCATTCCTGCCAGCTCTGAGAGGAGGCAAAGGCCTGGTCCACCTATGGGTCCAACTAAGTCTTCTCCCTGTCCTCCCCAAAGGGGTGGGCTTGCGGATGCTCAGCTCTCGGGTCCTGACTCGACAGTGGAAAGGCACCTCTGCGGGCTTCGGACGGTCCCAGGCCACGCTCAAAGAGGACTCGGCAGCAGGAGATGGCAAATTCCATGTCCCAAGTAAGAGCCACCTGAGGCGCATGCAGAGTATGGGCCCTGGCAGTCACCCTGCCCTCATATTCAATACTGGAGAGACCTTGCTGGGCCTGCGCTCCGGGTGCATGGGCAGGGCCAGAGCAAGGCCAGGCCTACTCAGGGTTCAGCAGACCCATGAGTATCGTGAGGAATGCAGCACCCACCACCCCCACCCCTGGCTTTGCCCCCGCTCCTCTACGAAGTCTGCAGATCCCAGTAACGGGTCCCTGCCTCCAGCCCCTGAGTCCCCAAGGACCCTGAACAACAAGGGACTGAGCAAAGCACAGAAAGCCCAGCACACCTGTTCGTGTGCCACCAGCTGCTGGTCGGGCCTTCCAACAGCTTCCTTTCAATCCTCTCCAGGACCTTCATATGTCCTTGACCTTCATGTAACCTTTCACAGGTTTGCAAGATGGTATTCAACTCTCTCCCACCTTAAGCTAGCATGGGAGCCCAGAGTTCACTGAGCCACCATCCCAGGCCCCCAGACCATGAGCACTTGTTACCTGTGGTCACAGCAGGTGTTCCCAGACCCTCATGGGTTTTAAACAGAAAGTCAGAGGCAGAGTTCTTCAAAAGCAAGATGTCTTGCCAACTCCTCATCCCTCTGGGACCCCAGACTCAGAGGATGCTGCTCAGCCCCTGTGTCAAGCCGAGATGCTAGGCTACAGGCTGTTCCTCTCTGCCCTTCTCCACAGCTTGGCTCTCAGAGGCCACGGCTTCCCCCAAAACCCCAGATCCCTCTGTCTTACGCCTCAGGGTGTCTCAGATCCATGCCTCAGGGTGTCTGATTTCCAAACCCTTACCCTCCCCTACAACTCTCCCTCCCTGAGGGAGACCACAGATCAGGCGGAGAGTTAGATGGGTGGCGGCCCTTGCTCCCCTTCCCCGGGGCTCCCCACTACCAGCCTGAGAGGTGAGCAGAGCGAGGCTCTGAGCTGATGGTGGTGATGGAGCCAGGGCTTGAACTCGGACATACTCAGTCCAGAGTCCCCAAGGCATCCACATCCCATCTGCCTCCATCACTCGGGCTCTAGCCCACTCCTGAGCTGGGAGTTTGGGACAACATACTGGGCTCCATTCAGCCCTGGCAAAGCCAGGGTTTTACTGAGGGTTTACTGAGCCTGCTGGTGCTGGAAGCTTCCTCTAGAACGTAGTCACTCCCTCCTCCAGCATGGGCCACCTCCTCCTCCAGCACAGACCACCCCCTCCTTCAGCACATAATCCCTCCCTCCTAAGTAGCCTGCCCCATCCCTTTCTAGCCCTGGAAAGGACGACCCTAGGAATAACCCCTTTGATGACACATTTCCAACTAAAGAGGTGTGGTTGTTATCCCCATTTCACAGATGGGGAAGGTGAGGTCCAGAGGCCTCTACCGAATAAGTACCATGTGCTGGTGTCCCTGGGCCCCTTCTCAGCAAGGCTTTGCCCTGGAGACACCCCCTTTGCCTCCTGACCTGTGAGCTCCCAGGAGCCCCCAGTGGTTCCTGCTTAACACTGGGTCTTGGTGAGCATCTAGCCAGGCACCAAACACTGCCCACTGTCTGTGCATCATGTTGTTTAATTCTCACAACAGCATTGTGAGACAGGCACCAAGATCCCTAGCATGCAGGCGAAACTGACAAGGAAGTGACTTTGCTGAGGCCCCACAGCTCCTCGGTGGGCAGACCACAGTTCTGTGTTGGGAAGGTGGAGACGGGAATTCGGCCCATGAGAGCTGGTAGGGAGGAGGAAAGGCCGGGGTCAGCCCTCACTTGTTGTCTCCCTCCTCCGTCATAGGCAGGGAGGAGAGCCCAGGAGTGACCATTAGAGAGATCCTGTCCCCTAGCCGCGAGAAGCACACGGCCTTGGAAGGTGAGTGGCAGCCAGCCCTGTTCCTCATCCTGATTTAAAGGGTGACAGCGACCAATCCAGAAAAGACTTGTTCCCAACTTGAAGATGAAGGGTAAAGTGACTCACAGAAGTCTCCCTACATACATCTTGGTGACAGAGCAGGGCCTAAGTCAGGCCTCCTAGTGTCCAGAGAGGGGCCACTCTGGGCCCGACCCCACTGTGCCTGGAGTCCCCCAGCAACATGCCACAGACTCACTCAGTGTCCCCACTTAGTAATAAAGGGATTAACATAAACTTAGCACTGTCCCCATAAGGTCCCAGAATTAACCTGCCGAGGAAACTTGCAGTCAGTGGTTCCACCCCTCCCCATGCCAACCAAGTCACAAACAGCCCAGCAGCCTAGGGACTGGCTCCTGTTCCTAGTGACACAGGGATGCAGGCAAGCCCTGCCCCGAGGTCTGTCCCCACTCCCACGGGGACAGGTCACTGTCAGGCCTCAGGTCTGATTCCTGTGGTTCTCTAGGGTCCGTGCGCAACCTGCCTCCTGATTCCCTCTCTTCCATCAAGGCCTCAGACGCAGTTTTTGGATCCAGGTAAGCAGATTTCCAGCAAGGGGTATCCCGCTGAGGTCCACCGTCCTGGGACTGTCCCCTCAGACAGGTACTATAAAGGCCCCACTGTAGCCAACGCTGCCTCCCAGATCTTGCCCTGCCTAACACACCAGGTCCACCTCCGTCCCCCACTTCCTACAGTCTCCTAACCACATGTGCCCCCGGGAGGGTCGTACACAAGCATGACCGCTGGGCTGAGCAAGACCTGGTATCCAAGGTGGTCGCAGGAAGACCCACCCTCACAGAGCCACCTGCAGCCGATGCTCCCCCATCCCATCCTGCCCAGCCGCCAAGGAACAGAAGGGTGGAGGATGCCACTGCTTGGACCCCTTCCTGGCCCTGACGTTCTGAGGCGGCTGGGCAGGCCCTAAGGGGAGAGCTAATCGGAGACACCTGACCCTCCCCGCCCCCAACAGGCTGAATCTCAACAAGACCAAGCTGTTGACACGGGCAGCCAAAGGCTTCCTGGGCAAGCCACTGGCCAGGACTCCTGAGGTGGCCTCGGGCAGCCGGAGCTCTGACTACATCCCGCTGGTGAGTGCGCCCCCATGCGGCCCACAGGGCAGCAGGGCCTCTCTGTGAGTGCCCCCTGCCCGGAAGGAGGAAGCCCTTAGCCTGAGCCCAGACTCCCACAGCTGCCTGCCACGGACGGCCCCAGTCAGCAGGGCAGAGGGCATAGGCCTGAATCTTCCTTGCCCTGGGCACTTGGGACTTGCTAGAGGCCACAGCTAACACCACAGCTATTCTTTGCAATCTACTGCATTTGCCTTTTAAAAAAATCTCCAGGCTGTTTGCTTTGTATGCCACATTGTCCATGTGTGTATGTGTGGCAAGCTGGCAGTGACTCCCAAGCAAGCACAACGAACATCCTGGGGTCGGTGGGGGGAGGTCCATGCTGCGGTAAGCGAGCGGCACCACAAACACCCCAGCAAGAACAGGTACCAAGGCCTGCAGACAAGCAGAAGAGACGGGTCAGGCCACCAAGGGAATTGTGGATCAGAGGGTACTCAGGAAAGGGGCACCCTTAAGCATCGCTGCACACCCACGTAGTGTCCCCTGGGCTTCCAAGTGCACACGGCCACATTCACTCTGGCAAGCGCTGAGTCAGGCTCAGTGGTAGTGGAGGCAACGCTGAGCCAAACGCATGTGGTCCAGGCACTCATGGGGCTGAATGTCTGCAAGGACCCACACAGGGAGCCAGGCAGTGCTCATCCCAGGGAGCTGCAGGCAGGATCAGTGGGGGAGTGCAGGGGTGGGAGACACCCAGGTCAGCTTAGAGGTGCATAGGGGCAGGGGATGGCCAAACAGGGCATCCTAAGGAAACTAATGCTTGTGGCAAGCCCTGACAGCTGGCCAAGGGCCTGGGCAGGGGGAGGGGAAGGCTAGACAGCTGGAGCCACAAGGCTGATTGCTAAAGGACAACGGCAGACCACGGCTGTAAAGATCGCATTTATGCTAAGCAAATCTCAAAGCCACTGACTTGACTCCAAAAAGCACAGAGCTCTACCTGACACAGCCTGCTCTGACAGTCTGGGGGTACAGGACAGGTAGACTGGGTGAGAGTGGGATGAAGAGGCGGGGACACCACCGTGAGGAGGCACTGGGTGGATGACAGAGCTGCAGGGGCCCAAGGAGACTTGGAAGCTGATTGGTGCTGAGACAGGAAGGGGCGGGGCAGCGGGGATGGAGCTGCTTCCTGGGCCCAGGCAGCCTAGGTGAGTGTGGGAGGCGAGCACGTGGGCTGTGTGGGTGTGAGGGCTCCAGGGACTGCCCCCGGGAAGCCCACTGAGGGCTCCTCCACACACAGGTGTCTCTGCAGCTGGCCTCCGGAGCCTTCCTGCTCAACCAAGCCTTCTGCGAGGCCATCCAGATCCCTATGGAGAAGCTCAAATGGGCCTCGCCCTTCACCTGCCACCGTGTGTCATTCACGGCCCGCCAGGCAGAGCCCGAGGCCCGTGGCTCCCAGCCGTGCACCCCAGCACAGCACCCCACATGCACCAGCATCTCCCTAGATCCCTTAGCTGAGGGCCGGCCGGCCTTGGAGCCCGGGGCGATGGTGGAGCACACAGGAAAGCTGTGGGCCACCGTGGTGGGGCTGGCCTGGCTGGAACACAGCTCTGCCTCCTACTTCATCGAATGGGAGCTGGTGGCAGCCAAAGCTGACCGGTGGCTGGAGCAGCAGGAGGTACCTGAAGGCCGCTCTCGGGGCACACTCAGGGCCGCCGCCCGCCAGCTCTTCGTGCTTCTGCGGCACTGGGATGAAAACCTGGAGTTCAACCTGCTCTGCTACAACCCGAGCTACGTGTAGTGGTGGTGGGGCCCAGGGCGGTAGGCGAGCGACAAGGGGCCTTTGCGGCCCACAGCAAGGAACTAGGAGAAGCTGTAGCTGATACATCGGCTGTTTAAAAGAGCCCTGGACTAGCAGATGGGAGGCTGGGTTCAGTGCTCTTTGCTATCAACTTTGCTAGCTCTGCCACCGTAGGCCAGCTCCTGCCCCCTATGTGGGCCCCAGTCTATAAAACAAGAAAGTGAGATGAACGTGTCAGACTAGACCTCTGCGCCCAGGCCTGGGGCTTCCAGCTACTGTGGGTGGTGAGAGAAGACAGAGGAAGACCATGTGGGCACCACTCGGCAGCACTGGGGATGCCCTTTTCAGTCCAAGAGTGCCTGGGCAAGCCCAGTACCTACCAGTACCCAGCAGGCCGGCTCCGCATGGGAGGCCCCCTCCATGAGTGCCTGGACTCTTAGCGCCATGCTGCCAGCCTTCAGACCATCCCATACCCACATGCAAAAATGTCCCCACTCCTCCCACCCAGCAGTCCATCTTAGTGTTGGCTTGCATGCCAGCTACAGCTTCCTGCCAGAGCAGAGTGGGTGGCAGCACTGCTGAGAGACCCCGTGAGCCCAGGTGCTAAACTTAAGCTGTGCCCCGGGCACACCTAGTCTGAGAAAAAGGGACAGTGGAGAGATCCACAGCACCTGTGATGATCCGCACGCAGGAACTGGGGAAGGCAACCCCATGTGCCTATGCTGAGGCTCCAGAGAGGCACCTGCGTGAGCCTTGCATGCTGGGATAATGGGGTCCTGCTCAGTTATAGCACAGTGTTGAGGAGAGCAGCTGCCTGGGCACCGGAGAACTGGGCATGGATGCAGTGCCCCTGGGGGCAGCAGCTTGGGCATGGAGCACGATTTGCTCGATATCATGAACAGATCTGGAAGTTCCAAAGTAGAAGTGAGTCCCCAGGGGCTTCCCTCCTGCAGCCCCACTCTCTGACCCCTGCATGGAGATCTGGCTCCCCCATTACCAGGGCCACAATGTCCAACCACAGAGTCCCCTGGAGGTGGGTGTGGACCTCACCAGCTTGGCATCCCAGACTGAATCTGTGCCCCTTTTCTCCATGGCCTCACCTGATCAAATTCTCCTTCTGGGAATGTCCCATCGCCCTGGCATGGAGCCCACATCCATGGCCTTCCCCCCTCTGTGTCCCCCCGCACTTCAGGGAGACCTTGACAGTCCCTGTTCATCAGACCAATATGCAGAGGCCTAGTGAGCTCTGGTGCAAGTCCAGATCTGGAAAGGTCCATTCTACAGCAGGGGCTAGGGACAAGGGAAAGGAGACACCTGTTTCCCATAGCCCAGCGCCCTGCATCCAACATCCTATTGTGCTGTGAAACCTCCCCGGGAGGGGGTACGGGGAGGGGAGGTGGCTGTACAGCCCCACTGGAAACTTGGTTAAAGACCACAGCTGCTCAGACTGCTGGGCTCAGGGGCAAGCGCACAGCCAGGCAGGGTCCAGCCCTGTGGCCATCTACTAGCCCAGGAGAGTGCAGGATGTGGGGTATTAGCTCAAGGCTGGTGCTCAACTTGGGGAGGCCAAGGTTTTAGGGCTCTCACTTGAGGCCCCTAGGAGGTAATAGGAGAGCACGTCCTACCCCTGCAAGGCCCACGCTGCAGTCCAAAGTCCCCGCTTGGAGGTGAGGCTGGGCAGGGCACATGGCATCCACTTCCCAGCCCACCACACACAGACAGCCCATCGAGTGAGGCCCAGTCCCGGTGTGAAGTTGAGAAGTGACTTTCCCTTGTTGGCCACCCAGGAGCTGGGGACTTCCTTCTGCTCCGACATCCCCAGGGTTCTCTGCTCCAGAGACACCACCCTCTTAGCAAACATGAATTTGCTCTGATGCTGTGCGTGACCTTGAAGAAGTCATGTGTGTCCCCTGGTTTGAACAAGACCAGGTTTGAACGGGGCTGTGCAGCCCCATTCCCACCCTACCCCCGCCAGCTGGATTCTGGATCAGCAGGCCTCAGTATGGACAAAAGCCAGGGCTTGAGGCTGCGCAGCCCCTGTCCAATGCAGAGCCCAGGTTCCCCCAGAAGCCTGCTGGGAATCATGGAGAAATCCCTGCAACACTCCTTGGCCCCTGCCCCTGTGGTGGCCACTGCAGCCCAGCTTATATTTGATTTAAAGATTTATTTCAAAGTCAGAGTGACATGGAAAGAAGGAGAGACGGGAGAGAGATCTCTCGCCTCAATGTCCAGAGCTGCGCCAGCCTGAAACCAAGAGCCAACAGCTCCATCTGGGTCTCCCACGTGGGTGGCAGGGATCTGAGCACTTGGACCATCTTCTGCCACTTTCCCAGGAGCATTCAGAGGGAGTTGGATAGAAAATGGAACAGCCAGGACTCGAACTGTTGCTCCCAATGTGGGATCCTGGCATTGGAATGGCTGCCTCACCCACTGGACCACAACTCTGGCCCCATGCTCTGCTCGCGTTTGATCTCCACAGTCCCCCGTCCCACATCCAGCACCGAAAGTAAAAAGGGACATTCTCCTTGATAGCAAATGCTCCGAGGACTCCTCCAGGACCTCAGATAAAAGACACCTTCAACAGAACTGCAGCAGAGTTGAGATGGCTCAGAGAGAGCCAGCCTTCTGGGACCAGGAGTGCCAGCGTCGGGCCTGAGGGTCAGGCTCCACTACAAAGCTCAAGTCGCTTCCACGAGGTTCTCAAGCTGGAGGTACCTAGCGCTGGCTTCCGGTCTAAGGTGGACTGGTGTGGCCTACGGTAGAACAAGCCAGTTTAAGGTGGTAAGCAGCTGGGAAGGGTCGTGATGTCCCTCTTCTCTGGCAGGAAGACTCCGGGCCCCCTGTGGTGCTCCTGACTCCACGGCCAGTGTGCAGGTGACTTGTGGCAAGTTGTTTGCCTGCCGTTTTGTGGGTGGATGAGATCCCATTCGATCCAGTGCTGCAGGTGAGACCTGAACAAGCCATGGGCACCTGCGCTGTGGGCCAACGTATTAGAGCCACACCAGGAAAAGAAGCTACTTTGGGGTAAAATGGTGGCTTGTCGGTGTGCATAATGCCATAGCAGCGATGCTACACAGCCCCTCCTGGCAACTGAGGCCACTGGCCCACATCTCCCTCAGGGTGGGTCTTTGGGCATTTGTAAGAAAAGTACCTACTGTGTGCCGGGCACTGTGGGGCATCGTAGCCAGTACAGTAAGAACCATTCCTGTCCTTTGCAGCTGGGTGGGATGGATGTGACAGGTGTGTCGCATGGACTGGTTTCCCACTTGTGGTGCTGACTGGGCACACTGCCGCCTCCTTGGGTCTGCCCTGGGTGTACCTGGCCTTGGACTTGCACCATCCAGTTTCCCTGCATGCCCACAGCCAGTTCCTCCTCCCCAAGCTGCCAGGCTGACCACAGAGCACAGCATACCACAGAGAGAGGAGCCCCTGCTGTGAGCCTCCATGCCCAGGGACAGTTCCTGTGCCTGAGTGCCCAAAGGGGCCACTTCCTGAGGCCCCTCCACGGATGACACCAGCTGCAAGGACTGGAAGAACTGGGCCCCAGCCTCAGCAGCCTCATCTCCAGTCTGCGCCTGCAACCCATCCTCTCCCTGCAGGCAAAGCAGGAGACGGCCAGCCTGAGCTAGCACTCACTGGGACTGATACTTGCTGTGACCATTTCCAGACCCAGCTTCTAGTGGAGTCGGTTCACAGTTGTTCCCCAAATGTTTGAGAAAGCAAAGGGGGGTCGTCCTCCTCCTCCCTACTAGGTGGCTCACCTGTCAGTTAAGTTTTCTGGAAGTTTCTTCTAATTCCCACCCTGGCCCCTGTTCCCCTCTCCTCTTATTTGAGGGCCACATTTCCTCCTCTCCTGGTAACCTGAGAGGCCTTCTCCTCTTCCTTGGCAGGGTCTCCCAAAAAGGGAGAGTGAAAATGGGGTTCCCCTCCATCTCTGTGCAGCCTGCTCCCCGCACAGTGATGGGCCCTATTTACTGCTGTGGCTGCAACCTGTGTGACATCCCAGCCCCCTGTTAGTCAGGGGTCCCAGGATCACCTGTCTGTCCCTGCACACTGTAACACCACTAACTACTCCCCAGACACCTTCTGCACTGGTGCCCTGGCAAGGAGGGGGAGGGGTGCTACCCGGGGAATGGGGCATATGGTCATTGCCAGGACACCCGGAAGATCTTAACTCCTACCAATCTAGCAGCGGCTAGAGAAGTCACCACCAACAGAAGTGCATGCGCGTCCTTCATGCTTCCCCACACCAGTGTGAGACAGCCAGGCAAGGCCATACACAGCACTTGACAGCTGGACAGCCAGACCCAAGAGATCTGTCCCCAGGCCAAGGGCTTGGCAGCAGCAGCATCTGGCCAGGCCCACAACCCCTGACTGCAGGCCCCCTTGACCCTGTGTCCAGCCTGTGCCCAGCCCGCCAACTTTAGCCTCTCAGCAGCACTGCCCCTAACCCCTCTCGACTCCAGGTCCCTGACCACCAAATGGGATTTCCCCTGTTCATGCTGCAAACCTCCTAGGCTCAGTGCCAGCCATCTCGAGCTCCCAGCTGCTTCCAAAGCAAAGCTGACCGTGGCGACACTCGCAGGGGCACATTCCGTATGCCCAGGTGGCTCTGGCTCAAGTGCCATGGCCGGTGCTTGTCCCCACAGAGCCTCAAGTGCCTACAACATGCTGCTCTGTCCCTTTGGCTGCCGCCTGTCCTGGCCCCGTGGTGCCTGCAACACCTGCTCGTCCTCGGAGTTCGTATTGCCTTCCTGCCCGGCAGCCAGTGGTATTGATGTTGTAGAATTTCCAGATGTCCACTGTCTGCTGTCCACCAACTCTTAGCAGCAAATCCTGCGCTGTGGCTGTGTATGTGTGTGTAAGTTCTCAAGGGAATGGCTTTCCTGTACTCAGTGGCTCCTGCGCCATCCTCTAGGCTTCGGCTCATAGACCAGCTGCTGGACCAATGCTGACAAGATGATAAAGTCATCTTTGTGTCTTCTCTCCTGTTAATAAAT